GGGGGGGGGGGGGGGGGGTAGAGGATGGAGGGTGAGTTAGCGTCGGATTAGCGTGGATCGGGAAAAGGCGAGATCGAACGGTCGATCGGCTGTTTTCCGGCGGCTTGCCGTCGTCGTCGTCTCGATTTCCCCGTCGACGAGACGAGATGAGCGGGCGAGCGAGAGCGGACGGTCCCGTCGTAATGCGAAGATGAGAGAGGAACGACCACGTAGCCGCTCACAGGTGGGTGATGATGATCTCGTCGTCGAGATCGTCCTTCTCGTCGTCGGTCTCTTCCGGCTGATTCGCCTCGGCTTGGGCGGCCTTCGGGTCCTCGGCGATCGCCTTGAGCCGCCGTTGCTTGCGCCTGTGCAGCAGCTCGACGACGATGTAGCCCATTGTGCCGGTGATCAGCACCGTCAGCATCACGTACAGCTTCATACGGGCGCAGAGGTGCGTGCTGTACGCGTAGGCGATCACGAAGCCGGCGCTCTCCCACAGCCTGTAGTTGGAGAAGGCCGCCTCCTTGTTGCGCCTGAACAACGTGCCGTAGAGTCCTGCGGAGATACAGAGAGTCGATCATCAGCAAGTCGCAAGGCGTGTGATAACACCGCGCGTCGAAGCGGTGGAAGAAGTAAATCAATCACCGAGAAAAAGTGTTAATCCTCGGATTTAATCAATTTTATCGCAGCCAAGCAAATTTCATCATGGCATGCTGTGAAAAAACGAATTCGTCTCGATTAACAAGCACGATTGTTAGACTTTTCAACGAATACGTATCTTTATCTTAGGTAAAAGATTTGCTTGAAACGAAGGACAATTTTTTTTATGAAGAAATTATTTGTTTCATTTTACATATTTATTGTGACCGAATGATATTTTATTTGGTTAAGAGATATTCTTTCAAACCGTAGCGTTCTTTCCGTTAAATAATCGAGTTTTCTGAGTTGACTTGATTGAGTCAATAAAATTTTTATTCAAACAAATATTATTTCGTATATGTTGTTTCTATGAAACGAATTTTAGTCAAATAAATATTAAATCTAAAGAAATACTAAATCTAAAGGAACCCTTTTCTCTGTGTAGTCATACAAAGCCCGGTCTATCGTTTCCTACGCTCTCATTAGCTCGTATGGATTAATTAATTCTTCATTAACTATTGCGAATTTTGCAAAATGATACGTGACACTTTTTTGCTCAATTTCACCTGTTCTACTTGCCCACCATGCACGAGAAGCGAGAAAGGTTTGCGACACCCTGTACATCGTAATGTATATCCACTTTATGCGCATGAAATGTTTATATAACGGATATTATTTGTATATTATAGAGTATTAATATATACGCACAATAAGGAAATATCCTCGTAAATATCAATGTTACGTGGGGATTGATCGGTGCTTTAGCACCAGTTTTTACATCCGCCACAGTCTCGCACTGCTCTCGTGCGTCACGTCAAAGCGATCGTAGAATTTAACGGCGCAAAGTTGCGTTTCTTATTTCAGCAACAACGACGACCACCCGCGAATTTTTAATTCGAAGCTGCTCCACGCGCGTCGAATAATAATTTCGACTCGGAGAGAGGAATTTATACAGATTATTATCGGGTTACTTTGTACCTTGATTAACGCGGCTACGGTGTTTATATTATCGGCCAACGAGGCGAAATTTGGGGGGGGGAGGAGGGAGGCACGAGACAACAGCGTTTCGCGAGCGTACTTGAGACATCGCTGAGCGTATTTGAGCGTTGCAAAACTGGCACCGCACTCGTTAGGAAATCACTAGCGGCCAGCTAACGTCGAGAGATATCTCGTTTGTTACGGGTCGACTTGGCAGGTGCTCTTATCGGATTTGCGGTAATTGTATGCGGCAACGCGTGTGGGTGCATCCAGGTACCACGTGCGTGCATCGAGGTCGGTCGTGTCGGCGCTTTATGCTCATCGTCGCGGCTCGTCCGCAGCGACGGCAGCAGCGGCGGCGGATTAACGAGTCCGCAGGTGCCGCGTGCGCTTGGATCGAAATCCTTGACCCGGCTCTCGTTAGATACGCCTTCGGAGAGTACATAATGACGGTAATGATAGCGCATCGCCGGCGACTGGATCCGTTCGCGAGACTCGCGCGTTAGAAAAGTAAAAGACCTCTATAAAGAGACGGGGAAATGCCGCGGAAGAGAATACGCGGGAGAAGACGCGTATCTGAATCTCAACAAGTCAGAATCTCGGTGCCTCCGTTGATGGACGGTTTACAACAAGATCGAAGAGATCGCGCCTCCGGGCGGTATTTATTATAATTAAATAAAACATAGGTGTTTCTTCGGCGTTCTCTCCATATGTCGTACTCGCTTTCTTGAGAATTGGCATTTTCCACGCAGAGAAAAACATTTCTGTGGATTTAATAAAATTTCTCTCTGTAATAAGAAACAAATCTGTCTTTTGGAATGGAGCAAACAAAGGAATGTCTGATTCAATAAACAGGATTGTTGAATTGTTGAAATAATAAATATTTCTATGTTAAGTAACATCTTTCTTTTATATTTTCGTACAAACATTATAATGGTTGTCACCAGCAATAAATTATTTGAGAGAAGCAATACTATGTTAGAAAAATATTAAAAATATTAAAAAAATGTTAGAAGACATTTAAAAAATTACTTCTTTTTGTTTTCGTAGAACAAATATATAACGAAATCAATTTTTTTATTTCGAAAACGAGATATTATTTCCTCCAAATATTGTTTTTTTTATCAAACAACAGTGTTTACTTTTAGTGAGACAAAAAATCTTAAATAAAATTATATTTGATATTAAATTATATTGTTTATATTAAAAAGAAAGAGCCCAAGTCAAACAAACACGTATACTACATCCAAGGAAATCTTTTTCTCTGCTCAGACAGTTTATTTGTATTGTTTTTTAAACGTTTCTAAGGCATATTTTAGACATTTGTGCTGTCTGGGTTATCGCGTGACTGACAAAGATAAATATCACCCTACCGCTAAGAAAGCGATTACTCAATTTACTTTCCTTCTTTTAAGTAATAAGTTATCTTCAACACAAAATATCTTTTCTGATAAGTCTTAAAATATACTCATCACAAATTTTGAAAAACTCATTATCACAGCTCATCGTATTCAAAAGGAGAATTTGTTCTCTCTTCAAGAATATTATAAATGTTATCGGCGAAAAATTAAATTCGATTAATTTAAATAAATATAACCAAAGTTTGTTTTAATGTAATACTTTTAATTATGAAGTACTGAACTCACTAGAATTCAGAATACAGTTTGAATAAATCTGCTCATGTACTTGTAATATACTTACGGGTATATAAACTTATGAAATACTTGAAACACGTAATATTTACTTAAATGCAGTATGTATTTTTCTGCATGTGGGGATATCAAAATTTGTCAATCAAAACTGTCTCTCTTCTCAAATTCGACGGGACAAGTGAAATTTTTTTGAGCCTACACGGCCACTCACGGCGATGCGCATAAGCGTTCGACAGAGAGAGAGAGAGAGAGAGAGAGAGAGAGAGAGAGAGAGAGAGATACAACGTGGTCGTCTGCACATTGTGCGGTTTAACGTACACGGATTCAGCGTACGGATTTGCATATCGGTTTCTGCAAAATCTGCCGGGACTAGCACGGCTCGACAGATTAATCTCGGCGCGGTGATTAATCTCGCCGAGGATCCGCGCACCGGGGCACAAAAAACACACACCCGAGAGTCGCTTTCCGGCAGTGTAATTGTGCAGAAGCTCTAATTACACCTGTCGGGAGAAACACCTGTTGTACGCGAGCAACGCGAAATTGCTGTATGTCATTCGCGGCCGTTTGTTATTCGTGCGAATTTCCGCGGCGAACGAGCGCAAAATCAATTCGAAATTCCATCGACGTACAATATACGCCGCTCGCTCGCTCACTTTGTTTTTATTATACCTCAGAAAAAAGTGACCGCGATTATCTCTCCCCCTCGCCCTCTGCCCCTCGCGCTTATGTTAGGTAGCCTAAAAAGCGAACGTTCATTTGTAATACTTAACGCGACTTCTTCGTCGCGGCTAATTGCGGAATGAGTACGACCTGCAGACGAGATACACAACCGCGAATCCCATATCCTTGAGCGCGAAAGGCTGGCGGAAAAAATGGTACCAAGCGGCGTTCCTTTCTTACATTTGCCACGAGAAGCATTATCTGCGAATTTTTTCGGATACAAGCCAAGACAGACGCAAAGGCCGGAATCGTCATCTTCCGCTGACACCGGGTGTGTATATTTACGCGTGTGCGAATTATGACGAAAGGGATCCCCAATGTTCTCCCGTCGAGGGTACAAAAAGGCACCGATGATAGATTGTACAATTTACTGTTTAGAAAGAATCACTTTGAGACACATCGCGTCTCGCACGGAGAAAAATTTTTTACTAGCGCAGCAAATTGTTACTATAGTGACTGCAAAAAAGATCTGTTACGCGGAAAGAATAATTTCGCTGTTGTACACAGGGAAAAGGGTTTCTTTAGATATAGTATTTCCATTTATTTGACTAAAATTTGTTTCATAGAAACAACATATACGAAATATTACTTGTTTGAGTGAAAATTTTATTGTCTCGCTCAAGGAAATTCTATTATTTAACAGAAAACACGCCATTATTTGAAATAATATCTTTTGACCAAATAAAATATCATTTAGTCACAATAAATATATAAAATGAAACAAATAATTTCTTTAGAAGGAAATTATCTTTCGTTTCAAACAAATTTTTTATTTAAGATACGTATTCGTTGAGAAGTCTAACAATCGTACTTATTAATCGAGACATTACAGTTTCTTTGGAGCATGCCAATGATGAAATTTGTTTGGATGCAATTTATTAAATTTGAAGAAATCTTTTCCTCAACGTAGCAAAATGTCGTCGCGACAGCGGCAAACTTTAGCTGGCATAATCCAAACAAATCAATTTGCTGTCACTATGGTAGCGAACAATTTGCTGTGCCGGTAAAAAATGTTTCTCCGTGCGCGAAATTATACATTCGAAATCGTGATTGATCGTACCTTCCGTGGCAGCCGATGAAAATCATTATCACGTGACTTCTCTATCGATTCGGTTGATTATACGACGACGGCGGCATGTGCTAATCGCAAAGAGATCTGCGCTATTGACGATGTACACGTCGCGGTAGTTACCGGAGCAATTAGTTGCTCATTAATTCGCTTAATTTATTGCTCCCCCTCGCGGCATGAGTGAGTTTTTATCGATTACGTCACGACACCTTTCATCTACTCCGTCTTTTATCAACGACGAGTACGGTCGCCACGTGTAAGAAGAAGGACGTATAATTTTTACGTTCGTTCCAAAAATCGTGAATGGATCGTCGCTTACGTAACAAGCGATCGTGCAAAGTGTAGTGTTTTCAGGTGGTGTCACAGCGGATGACTTAACTCGGCCGCCGCAGCGGCAACTCGGTGACGATGAGATCGTTTCTTTTCTGGTCTTCACCGGTCAGCGACCTTAACTCTCGGTACCGAGAGAATTCTTCTGCGATTTGTCGAAACAAATGACTGAGAGCGAGACGTATCCAGGCGGATATTTTTTGACGTAATAGCTGTAAAGACGCCCGTTAAGATGTACGACGCACGACGTGTCAATTTCCGCATTCTTCATTGTGAATAAAGAAATTTAGCAGCGCGTCTCGGTCGCACCGATAATGCCGATATATCGTCGCTCAAAATTCATGGATTCGGTTGCCGAGGCGACAAGGGAGGCGCAATGAATAGAGAGATTCGCGTGCCTGAGACGTTCCCTCGCTCACCGTGTTATGAGCACAGCCTCAATCCGGCACGGAATACTGATTAATTTTTTTACTCCCGCTGCGACACGACGATGTATCGCTTGGTTCGTTACGTCCGATTGTAAATAATGGCACGCGAATCGCGATTATAATAACATTCGCCTCGTAATGCCACGTGCGCGGCGGCTACAATTGCTGCGGCAGTCGAGGCGGGTGGTGAGAAATTGGCACGTCGGGAATAACGATGATCTCGAAAAACCATCCGAGAGAATCGGTATAATGCATGAGTTAAAATCCATCAATATTCACCGGCGATGTTAACCTCGCAATTTCACGTGCTTCCTTATCACATATTCACGATCAGTTTAATCGATACACGGAAAAAAAGAATTAAACAAATTAACGTGATAATGAATGATAAGCAAACGCGTTTCGATTGAGGAAAACGGAATTTCTCGTTCCTAAGAACCGAGAATTGGGCTCAGAAGAATCAGAAATTCTGTTCCTTTCAACCAAAACGTCTTTGGATTGTTCATTGTCTCATATTAATTCAACCAATTTTTCTCTCCGTGTGTAATACACAATTTGTAATACGGCGAGTAAATTCCTATTTTTCACGCGATAAGTCCTTTCTCTCCTTTCAACATTCGCGCGATCCACCGGTTTTTATCTCACGACATCTCGACTGTTGTGACACTCGACATTTTACGCATGTTTTATTGCGGGAAGAGTACAAAACAAACACTCACCGTTAACCTGGGTCTGCCACACAGCATCGCCCACACCCCACAGACCGGAGACGGAGTAAAAAATATAGGGATTATCAGGGTGAGGCTTCCACATGAGGAGGACGACCACGAGGGAGGCGTGAACGATGGCACCCAGCGCCATCAGCGGCTGTCGGCCGACGAATTTCATTAACGAGCCGAACAGCAAGGAGCAGCCGGCATTGACCACCCCGAAACAGATCATGACGTAGCCGACCTTGTGGACGCCCAGGGCGCAGGAGATGTACGCCTGGAAGACAAGCACAAAAGGATTCGATTTAATACTTGCTTTCTTTTTAGTTCGCCGAAAACGATTTACGTACGACGTTTCGCGAATCTTTTGTACTACTAATAGAGAAAAGAAGAGAGAGAGAGAGAGAAAGAGAGAGAGAGAGATGTAGTGCTGATAAATAAGATCGGTAAGCACACAATGATCCTCATTATTGACGTTATATATTGTTAAATATAGTTTTCCGATTTTTATCAAGTATCTGCTTTGACTTTTGTGGTAGACAGCCAATCAGAATGATTAAAACGGATTTTCGGCGGATGTTCCACAGAACATTTTCTACTCTACCTTGTATTAGACTTTCGTAAGAAACAAATAATAATTTATATTTAATGAAATAATAATTTTATATTGAAAAAATATATTTATACAAATATAAAAAAAGAATATATCTTAATGCTATCATCAGAAATTCGTACGTAGCATTAATCACAAGACGGACAAGATGTAATCGGTTTTTGTCGCTTTCACGTAAACATCGATTGTTTTCGTAGATGTGCTAATCGGATTTTCAATCCAGACTGTTGCCAGTCAGTCTGGATTGTACGCTATTAGGCCGTTACAAGTAACAGAATAGTAATTTTTTTCTTTCCTATGCATACCGAATGAACCACTGCCCTTATCTCGAAGCTGACGTCAGACTTCTTTCGTGTGCATCGGGGCAATTATAATCGCATCAATCAACACGTGACGCGCACAAAACGGGACGACAAACCGAGCGGGAACTCTTTCAGCCCGTGAATTCTATAATCGCGTTTTTATCTTCGTCTAAATCCATTACGTGCGACGTGCAAATTATGGACCCATCGTTTTGAGTCTACCGATTCGCAGATGCGAGCGTCCTTGAATAATCAAGAACGTCACAAGGACATTCTCGACGCCATATCCGGATCCGTCTAGCTTCGTACGTCACTCTTGTTTTTATTAAAAAAAATTTTTGGCAACCACTGGCAAAAAACTTTTTATGAAAGCTAAAATAGAAAACGTATTAAGTACTTATCTCGTGCGATCGCTCGGCCCGATCGTTAACCCGTAAGTGCCTAATTAAATTCCGGATTCCCTTCGCAATTTCGAGTTGGAATTTTTACGACGGTCGTATAAATGTCTCTTCAAAGGACACTCAACGCCTTACGGTCAAGTTACGATTCGACGTGGCACTTAACCGGATACCGTGTTATTTTTGGCAACATGCCGGCACATTGTTGATTCGAAGCAACGTATCTTCGATCCTCTTCTCATTAGTTACTCGGCAATGTCGGCGGATTTTATTATATAATCCCGGATAAACACCAAGATGTCGAATGATTCATTTATAATAGTGTACCACATCCGCTTTAATTTTTTGTACCGCACGTAATTAGCGGAAAATTTAATATCTCGCAGGTGTTATCTTCGTAACATACTACCGGTACCATGTTGTACCAATAAGTCGAGAAAACAAAGGAAGAAAATCATAATAAAAACGTTTCATTATAACAAGATTATTAATTAATATTTTATTTACGAGCGTTGAAAGCGATAGATATTTTTTGAGCTCGTCGGTGAAAGCACTTCATAACGCTCGTGGAATATGAGATGAAAACTCGTTAACACTTGGCGACTTATTGTAACGCAAGTGGAATAGTTTTCTCGCGCATCATTGCGCATGCATTCTGTAGTATCTGCTTTTTCTATGCGCATTGTGCATGTCATTATATCATCTCGTGGCTCAAGGCGAGCGACTGTACCATTAAGCGAGTTCAACGAGTGAATTCTCGAAACATCTCAATCAATACGGCGGATAACGGATGGGCGCTATTCTGTTCAACGTGAACCGATAAATACGGCAAACTGATAAATCGACGAGCGAATCTTACTTCTGAGTCACACGCATTTCCGGTATAATGTAAAATTTATCTCTATTATAGAAGGATGCTCGGTAAATTACAAAAGTATGATCACACGAAAGTACGTGCACGATGTGCAATTTAAAAAGTTACGCCATGTGTTTGCGAGCACTACTATGAATTTTCCAATCTTTAATAAGTCACGCGATCAATAACGAACATATTTGCGACCTGAGAAATTTACAAATATAAATTATCGTGCAAATTCGATTTTTACATATCCTGTAAATCTCACCTCACATTTGTCCTCGCATTCCTCGTGCGTTTTCTCCGGGCTATAATTCATACATATTCTTGCTAGTAAAAAAAGAAGAACCGACCGAGAAGATCGGGAGGAACGATTAAAGGTTCCTTCGACGACGGACCGCGGACTGCAGTGTCGTTACGTTGGATGTTTAGTCGCGGACGTCGCATCATCGCGGTCCTTTAATAATTCAACGCGGAGACGGAACAGCCGATCCGGCCGTTTTGAATGGGCTTACGTGTGTCCCGAGGCATTTACTCGAGATCGGCTCGCAACGAACCGCGGGGCCACGACACGTGCACGCGTATGCGTGCACGCACGCGGTGCACGTGTGAAGGGAATACTGGTACGCACGAGATTCCAGGTATGGAAGCGGTATCGCCGGATCGGCGCGAGAATAAGTTCGTGCTGCTATTTATAACAAGCCCCAGCGCCAGCTGACTCAGCACAGCCTGCAACCACTACAACCTCCTCTTCTTTCTCTCTCTCTCCTTCTTTTCTCTTTTTCATCTCGTTTTCTCTCCGTCCGCGTTTAATTGCCCAATTACCCACGTTGCTCCACAAGTCGAAGACGACGTCGTGTACGACCTGTCGGCGAACCAGTTTCGAACGAGTCGCGATCGCGGGCGAGGCTCTTTTTGCCGTAATACAGGGTCGCTCAATAACGAGGGGGTTCACCCGAAGCGCGACCTTCCTCGATTAATTCCAGCCGCTTACGTGGAGCCCAGCTTCCACGTCAATGAGATGTTCGACGGTACCGAGGAGGATGTAACTAATTCGATCATCCATAAATAGATTTCTCTTTGGATGGAGGAAAATCCCTCCTATCTCTCGCCCTTTATCCCTTCTCGCGTGTGAAATATATCAAATATATGTATTAGCGTTAATTCGGAATGAACTTGGGAAAATCTACGAGTAGGTGTGCCAAAGCGTGAATTAATTGCGTCTTCTTGAGCGTAATTTAACTTCAATGCGTTACTTCATAATTAATCACAGTTATGTAACAAGATTTTGCACAGAACGCGATTTCATGAGCACGTGTATACAATCAGGTTTTCCTGTTTTATCACGAAGGAACTCTTGGGCGTGCTAGAGACTACGTCTAGTTTGACCACCCATACGTAGCTGTATCTTCATAAGGAGATCGTCCTAAAGTGGAAAATACCCAACATTCCCGCTTACGGGTATGCGTAACATCGCTGGACAAAAGTGCACAGGCTGGAACTCCGGCCGGTAGAGACGAAAAAGTAAAAGCTGACCCGTTAAAACCGTCATAGCTCGATCGCGATCCGTACGGTGAAAAATCGAGCGACTCGCCGCTCCGACGTCGCTCCGAGGCTTGTTTTTGCGCACAATCGCGATACCGTACACGTCCGAGAAAACGTAAGGATACGGGATATCGTTGGGCGGGTCAATTGCCGGGTAGACAGCATGTAAATTACGCAAATCCATCTTTCCAATCGGGCGAAATAATTCGCGCACGGTCAGTGATTACCGCCACGATTTCTTTCCCCGTGTGCGCCCGACGACGAGTGGCTTTTAATTGCATCCACTGCCACATGAGCGAACAGGTATCGCGTTACATCCTGCTTTCAAATATCTCCTTGTTTAATGGTGCTCTTGCTCGCGTGTCGGACATACACACGCACAAACGACACGCACACGCATGCATTGTCGAACGAAAGCGTCTGCTTGAAACGTCTCTTTATTACACCCGCTTCTGCTTTTCTTTCGTTTTTCTCGCCACATCCGCGCAGTATCTCCCCGACTAATGTATATTTACTTTCTAAATCTACTTCACGTAATTATTATATGATACGTTGATTATCCTTCCTCTCGTGTAATTCGAGATACCAAAAGAATACGCGGGTCGAAACGAACAATTTCCTGCCGCTTTATTGTTTGATTGTAAATCCGCCACGCATAAATCTCTCGGAAATAACGTTTTGTGGGACACGTTTGTCCATAAATATCCGAATCTTCGTTGACACCTACGTAGCACCGCGGATAAACCGCGCAATATAAATCATTTATGAATAAAATCATCGCCGCCACGAAAGAACCAAAGCAGGCGTGATTCCCGCATCTGCTGTATCTGCGATCGTCAACACGTGCTTCCGGAGAACGATCGCGCGTCCTCGTGCAGTCGTCACGCATCGACTACCCGGTGTTCTACATCTGGCGCGTGTCCAGGTCGATCCTTCGTCGCGTATCGACGGCGTATTCGAGGCGATCCGAATCGTTATCCGAGGTCCGACCGTGCGAAGAATCGAGGAAAAGACGAGTCGCGGAAATGGCGAATGGACACGAGCGAACGTGACTTTACCGCCACCTTCCGCCACCTTCCGCTTTGTAAACGATACGAGAAAACTTGGACGTTAAGTGGGTCAGATGCTCGAATGCACGCGAATGACGATGTTCCGACGAGAGACGATCAATCTGGCGTACGTTAATAAATTAGTCCGCTTCGTGAAAACCACAAGCTGAATATCCAACGGATGTCTCTTTGAACTGATCGTTGCGAATCGATAAAAGTTTCTATCAACGAGCCACGCACCGAATGACAGAGGAAAAGGTTTCTTCAGATTTAGTATTTCTATTTATTTGGCTAAAATTTGTTTCATAGAAACAACGTATGTGAAATATTATTTGTTTGAATAAAAATGTTATTGTCTCATTAAAAAAAAAATCTATTATTTAACAGAAAGAACGCTATTTGAAATAATATATCTTTTAATCAAATAAAATATTATTTGGTTACAACAAATATGTAAAATGAAACAAATAATTTCTTTATAATAAGAAAATTATCTTTCGTTTCAAACTATTTTTTTATTTAAGATAAAGATACATATTCGTTGAAAAGCCTAACAATTGTACTTATTAATCGAAACATTCGTTTTCTTCGGAGCATGCCAATGATGAAATTATGTTTGCATACAATAAAATTTATTAAATTTGAAGAAATCTTTTCTCAGCGTACAAAAAAACTTTCACAGGAAGTAGTTCGATATGATAAAAAATATATACCGTCATGTGTAACGAAAAAATAAAAGTCTTCGCGAGAGTATGCGAGATGTAAGATCTATCGACCGGAAACCGACAATAATCCATGTGGAAATTAGAACCGGTGTAACAGATCTCTCTGTTCGATTCGATCGAGGCAATCGAAGCGGATCAGAAGATCAGCAGAAAAAGATCAGAAGCACAGAGAAAAAGATTTCTTTGAATTCCAGTATACGCGTTTGTTTGACTTAGATTTGTTTAATATAAACAACACAATTTAATATCAAATATCATTTTGTTTGGAGGAAAATATTGTTTCAGAGTAAACCATGCTGTTCGATAGAAGAAGCAGTATTATTCTAAGGAAATAACATTTCGTTTTCAATACAACGGAATTCATCTCATTATTTGTTAAATATTTTTCCACCAAAATAAAGAAATTCTTTAATACTTCTTTTGGCATTAAATTTTTTTTTGGCTTTGGCATAAAATCTATTTTTAGCATTATGTTACTTCCTTCGAATAAATTATTGCTTGCAACAACCACTGTAATTGTTTAGACAAAAATACAAAAGAAATATGTTATTTGACATAAAGATATTTATTGTGTGAAAAGCCAAGCGATAATCCTGTTTGAGCCAAATACTCGTTTGTTTGCTGCATTTCAAAAGACAAATTTGCTTCAATTAAAGAAATTTTATTAAATCCAAGAATATCTTTTTCTCTATGTGAAAGAATGTGACATCGTCGTCGGCTTCGCGATCTTGACCGCGCTTCCGTGCCGAGGAAAAGTGTTCACCGGATCCCACCACAATCGATCACAGACTTCCACTATCGACGACGAAGAGGACGAAGACAACTCCGCCGGACGCGACTCGCGACGACTCAACCGGATCGGGGAAGGTAGTCTCTGGCGCCAGTTGAGTCGCGCAAAAAGAGAAAATCCACCGTAGAGACTGATTGGATGCAGCTCGGCGCACGGCCGACGAAATGTTTCCTTTACCAGTCTCTTCTCGTAGCCTCGGGTTTCCTCGGAAGTAGGTTATCCGCGAATTCTCAGGACTCGATCCAGAGGTATCGATGATACCGAAAGATCATCATCACGAAAAGGGCTGTTTCTTTTACGATGGCCGAATATCAACGGGAAAGACAACTGAATGGTTTTTTTCATTCCCATAATTGTGACGGTGAAATTAAAGTTTTTATCGACTCGAAATCGTTCGGAGGAAACTGCTTGCGATCCGGAATGATTTTATTATTTACACAGAGCTTATTATTTACTTATTTATCTACGTTAATTTAATTCGATTGAAAATAGCGGCAGGTTTGACGAGAACAGCGTACTGGCCGGATACTGATCGTTGATCTTCATCAAATCATTGCTCATGAGCTCTTTATAACAAATACGAATCGAATAATATGAGATGCCCGAGTGATTTGAAGCCCGTGTGGAAAATTTCTTAGGATCTAATTGGGATCCAGTCCGACTTCCCAAGATAATTAATGAATTCTAGTTTGGAAACCTACGGTTCATCGATTGTTATAGTAAAAGGAAAGCTTTCGGAATATTTAACAAATCTGTCCGATCGATCGTAAGAGTTACCTTTATAGACATATCCTTTAATTTCGACATATTTTGTAAAATTTCTGCAAAACACTGACATGTATTTTGCTTCTAACGTCATCAGACGATCGCAAACAAGACGACTGCAGCGAAAAACTAGGAGCCTCGAGCATATAACATTAAAACTGAGCAAACAACATTAAAAATGTAACCCCGTTAATTGATCTCCCAATTTGATCTTTGGTCAAACCGTCGCTCGATTCTGGCGATGACGGTTGCACGTACCGACCAATCAGCACAGCGGAAAAGAAGCTTTATTTCATTCTAGGGAAAAGAATGGGATTCCCCCAATTGGTAATCATAATAGGATGATCTATCTTGGGACAATATTTAGAACGATTCTACCTACGTTACATATGAAAAAATTCTGGAAAATTTCTACGCGACCGGCTAGTCAAGTCGTCTCGCAGAATCGGGCATGTCTTCTCCTCCTCGAGCGGACCGTCGCTTTTGCATCAACACGTATCCGATATGAAATATTTCTCCGTACCGAAGCTTTTACCATTCCCGAGGACCGTCGTTCGTCACGACAAATAATTAACGTCCGCTGCACGCCGCGCGACTAGTTCGCGCTATTGCGGAACGCGGCGTCGATAAATCTTCGCGCGCGGTCTGTAACGCCGTAAATACAGGCCGGATGGTGCGCAGCGCAGGGGAATAAGAAAGGAGCGCCTATAAACGACCGAGAATACGGAACTCCGCTTTTTTGTCTCCCTCCCCCCCCCCTCCCCTCTCCATCTCTCTCTCTTCTTTCCCCGCGTCTCTCGTTTTTATTATTTCTTTTTTCTTTCCATCGCGGTGACGGCCCGAGTTCGGTTAATTACGCAGGCAGATTGAGCTGACGTCATGGCGCTCCGTCAATGTCGGATCCTGGTACGCATCGTCAAGGACGGCCGTTTCCTTATCATTGCCTGGCGAAGAAGCACGGCGGAGCAGCCGGTGGAAGAGCAGCTCGCGACGAAAGGTCGACACACGCGAACGCGAGGCGGTGCGGTATCGCGTAGGTTGCAAAACGGAATGCCATTGTTTTACCGAGCCGACAATGCGGCACACAATGTGCGCGAAAGGGAGTGACCGGCGTCGATTTATATGACGGCAGCCGCGAAGCTAACATTAGAAAGTGCCGTGCGCCGTAATAGATACGAGCGATTCCACCTATCCGCGGTCAATTCGTTGCGTGTTCGTTTTAACGCGTATTAACGGCTCAAAGAGGCGGATCGCGAGAGCGAAATCTTCACTGGAAAAGAAAAAAAAAATGTTACGTTCGAGTGAATATCTGCTGAGGAGTATTAGAGTAGTTTATTTTACTCGGATTGAGTAGATATTATTTGAATGCAGCACTTTTTTTATCTCAATGTGCTACATTCAAGTAATATTTACACAATCCAAATGAAATAAACTACTCTGATACTCCCTAGCAAATGTTTATTTGAACGTAACAATTTTTTCCTTCAGTGTGCGATTTGCTTTCCGCGATGAAATTTTGGCCTCATGTTAAATCTTGAATTATAACACAATAGGAGTTGAGATAGTAAAAAGGTTCACAATTTCAATTCTAATAATATAATTTACTCCTATTTTGAATCTGACGATATCTGAAATTTCCGTTTCCGCATTAAAATAGGTTTATTCATGATAGCATTAAAATGAGTAATCTGTGGATTGAAAGATTCAAGAGAGAAGTTAATAAGTATCGAAGTAGATTTTCATTGGTTTATAGGCCATTTAAGTAGACTATCCTTGAGAATGTTAAAGTAGAACGTCAGGATTTCAACTCGAATCTGCTAAAAAAATATTGCTACGGGAGAACATCGTTTTCTGCGACTGGAAATGATCCGTCTGTGCGTTTCGAGGACTCACCTGCGTGAAATCGGCTCCGATGAAGGCCTGCTCCATGCCGATCCATACCGTGATGGGTATCAACAGTTGCTGGTAGGGTTTCTTCAGCTGGTAAGCCGTAGCAGAGAGCAGTTGGATGCCACTCAGCTCTTGGCTGTCCGAACGTCGTTGCTTCTCGCCGTACCTGAAGAACAATTTGGAATTCTGTTAGCATTGCTTTGCATTGAGACTAGTCGGTCATATAATTTATGTGGTTCCATTCGTTGGAAATTATCCATGAGCCACGCTTTAAATCGTCGCTCGGGGACGAAAATAGAGAAAAAGAATTAGCTGCCCACACGATACAACTGAAATTTAGTTACCAGACTTAACTTTAAGCTGTGAGAGCTAAAAACAGGGCACAGGGACGAAGAGAATTAGCTAAATTAACCAAATTTTAGTTGTATCATACGAACAGCTAATTTTTATCCATGGGAACTAGTTTTTCACTATGGGAGCTAATTCTCTTCTATGAAAGAAGCGTGCGAAAAAATCGACCCGATATTCCGGGAAGGCGAAATTACGCCGGTGAAACGATTCACCTAATAATACGTTTTAGCGATGATGGAGGAGTTCTTATTCATTCCGCTTTTCCGCTATTAGCGAAGCCTGCGCAATCTTCTGGTAATTTAATCAATTTTCCCCCGATGATACAAATTTCATCCACGTTTTACGTCTATTGCACCTTTACGTCTTCCGACATCGGTCGTTTATCGCGGGAATAATATGGGCTCGAATAATAGAGAGAATAATAGAGAGAGTAATTTGGAAGCGGAAGCTTGTCGAAATGAATGTGCAGCATTAATTTATATCCGATTTTGCTCGAAGACCGGAATTGTTCAAGATTCATCGGGCTACATAATACTATCGGGATAAACGGCCACAATGATCCGCGCGGTTATGCCTCATGATGATCATAATTTCGAGCGGTATACGTAACTTGTGCGGCGCAAGTCGAAAATTAGACGAACAAAAGAGCGGGAAACGCGAATGATGACTGGCTGCCGTTTAGAACGTATGATTTTCCGGCAGACTTTTGCGCTGCTATTCGCAAAGAGGAAGAGCGCGGATGGGGATTAATGACGACCGCGATTAATTATCATCGCGATTGTACGTTCACGTACTTATTCAGCGTCCGTGCAACGCGAGCCACGCGGAAGCGAGTTGCGCAATTAGCAGACTTCCACCGGGGTATCGTTGCCATTGAGCGGAACCCGCGCAAACCGCATTCATTCATCGTTTCGGGTCGCGCTTAGATGAAGATACATCGTGCGACATATTAATCGAGATCACGTTTCGCGCTACCATCAATGATGAATCGGTCGTTGGGCGAAACAGTGACACTGATCGTTCTTCGCTGTTGGCGCTGATAATGTTTAATTTAATTGCACTTTCGAATTTTACATTTAGTTTAATTTGAAGAATTAAAAAGATCTCATAGCTCGATTTTTTCCTTCCTGTCTGAATAAATCTGAAGATAAGAGAAGAGCATCGACGAAATCTATATAATTTTAAATAAGGCTCATAGCAAATAGACGGTTAATTACGGTATGTACACGGGAAAAAAATTAATATTAATTCAAGACTCGTATTCTCATATATAAGCGAGGTTATAATCTTACACATGAAGATAAAACTTGTTCTTACATAAGAATATGTAATAATAATAATATATTAATATTCTAAAAGCATATTCTTGTTATTCAAGAATCATTTTTCTGAATTGAAAAGGAAAAAAATATTAGATAGTGGAATGATATAGATTATCCTCATATGCAAGAGCAAGTTTTATCTTATGCATAAAGATACATATTTTTGCTTATATGCACGGAAAAAAGGAATTAGTTTTCAATATGATACAACTGAAATTTAATTACCATATCTAGTTTTTAGCTGTGGGAGCTAAAAGCTAAATACAGAGAATGCAAAAAATACGCTAAAAACTCAGCTAAATTAACTAAATTTCAGTTGTATTATACGGACAGCTAATTTTTCCCGGTGGGAACCAATTGTTAGCTGTGGAAGCTATTTCTTTTTTCTTGTGTACGAGAATACCAGTCTTGAATTGATACTAATTTTCTTTCGGTGTGCCGTATTTTTACAATAAAGGCCCGTTAAAACGTATACAATGTGCGTTGCGTATAAATAATTTTGAAAAATTTTAATCGGATGCCACAGAAGGACGGCGGCTAGGATTTTTTATTTCGGTGGTAATTCGGCGCAAAATAGCAGCCTGATCGAAGGTAGTAAACGGGAGAAACGCGGGGGGAGGGGGGAGATAAATATCAGGGAATTTTAGAGACCCATTTTTCGTCGCGGAGGATTAAAATTAAACTGTCGCTGGAATGAGAGTCACTGTCGCGGCGAGATCCTGCCGCTAAATTTAGCCCGACGGGCCAGGTGGACGTAATCCGCCCTGAGGGCCCGGGGGAGAAGAAGTTAGGGCCCTCGCGAGATGCAACGACAACAACGTCCGGTGTCTCGCGCCGCCGCCGCCGTGTCGGCGAATTCGCAAAATAAATCTCCCGGCGCGTCGCGAAAACGCTTTAGCACACACGGCGGCGGCAGCGGCGGCCGACACGCACGGCAAATGTTCTCCACCCTGAGCGACGGCATTCCTGAGAACACGTTTGCTGGATTTCTGGGCCCGAAGCCACGGCCACCGTCGCGAGCCGCGCGGGGAGCGCGAATCGGCACTTGCGCAAAAACAAGTCTATGCGTCTCTCTCTCTCCTTCAAGCGGAAGGAAAGACGTCGGTACGCGCCGCGTGGTACGGCGACCGGCTGTTTTTCGGCGTTATGTACCCTCCTCGGCAGGATCCGATTGCTCCATATCGCTTTCGAATATCGGCGGCGGCTCCTCGTTAATCGCGGCGATGTTGACAACTTGATGAACGGCCGCGAAGAAGAGCGTGTCGCCGTGACGAGTGATGGGATGATCGGCGACTCGCTCGGAAGACCGTCTGTGCATCGACGGCGGGTTATTGCCGTGTCGATTATTATTTTTCATTTCTCCTCTCCTCTCGTACGCTGATTCCCTCCGTGGCGCCACCGGAGCCGGTTCGCGTTTCCGCGCGTCTGTCGAAATCAAGAGAAATCATCGGAGCGGCGCTTCACGAACGACATGATTGTTCGGGCCGCGATGATTAATACGACGATGATTTAACGATGTACCTTGCATGCGTGGATTCCAGCGGGATCTTATCGAACTTTCAGATTCAAATTTCCAGTCGTTAAAATCGCCTGGCTGGCGACCGCTCGAACAGACACGGCCGTCTCTTCGCGATTATCTTCGTGATTTCTAAGTCCAAGATCCATCCGAAGTTCCCGCTGTCGTTCTTAAAAATTCTTACGCGATGTCAATCGTAAATCCGTTATTCGCTTAACCCGTATCCCTCGTTCGGCATATTGAGAAAAAAGCACTTCAAAATTTATTTGTGGAATATAAGGCTTATTTCGGTGAGATAAACCCTATTTCTTTGTGAAATAAACTTTATTTCTGCAAAATAAATCTTTTATTCCGCAAATAAAATTTTTAATGCTTCTTTCTCAGTGCAGGTTGTTCGATAAGTTCACAGAGCTTTTTCCGAGAAATTCAAAGCCAATATTTTTACAGTTAGACATAACTTTATTTAATAGTGTAACAACCGTTTATTTTTACAGTAGGTCATCGAAAAAGCGGGAGAAATAAAATTATGAAATAAAAAATGCTACATTCAGGTAAATTGCTCAAGGAATGTTGGAATTATAAATATATATTATATACTTGAATACAGCATTTTTATTATTATACATTATATATTATTATATATTATATACTTGAGTACAGTACTTTTTTTCTTTCAGCACGCTACATTAACTCAGGCGATATTTATTTAATTCGAGTAAAATAATTACTCCAATATTTCTTGACAAATATTTACTCACATTTTTTTTCTTTCAGTGTATGTTTAACTGTAAAAGTCATCGGTTTGGATTTTTTCGTAAAAATCCTCCCGAATTAATCGAACAACACAATAATATAATATGAAAGATTTCTGCAGGTTGCGCGCGCGCGCGTCACGTGCCTTCGCGATTATGTTGTTTGCTATTCCGCAAAAAGCGACCTGCCTCGCGACTCCTTGATTTACGCAACGTCGGCGTCGCGTTGGAAATCACCACGATCTCTCTCTCTCTCTCTCTCTCTACGCAATCCGATCGATCGTCCGCAACACCGGAACGACACAACGGAGAGCGTATTAGCACGCGTCACCCGTGCTCTTTAGCGAAAAGCGCGCTCGCTTATGAACTCGCTTATGAGTCGCCGTACGCTAATCCAGATACATACATAATTCAAGAACGGCTGACTCAACGGGCTACGGTACCGGTCAGTCTCGCTGCACTCTGCGACCCGTTCGAGGACATAGGGAAATGTACTCGATCGTTAGCGCCAATGTAGTGCGCGGACCGTTAATCGCGATCCCGATTGCGCACACCGAGAAAAAAATTCCTTTGGATTTAGTAGCACATGTTTGTTTGACTTGGATTTATTTAACATAAACCACATTATTTAGCATCAAATGTCATTTTGTTTAAATGAAAATGTTTCACTAAAGTAAGCCATATTGTTTGATAGAAAATCAGATATTTAGATGAAATATTCTGTTTTCAATAAAGAAAATTTATTTGACTATATATTGAATATTGTTTCACTGAAACAAAAAGAAGTTCTTTAATATCTTTCTAACCTAGTGTTATTTCTTTCATAATAATTTATTGTTTTATGTTATATTATATTTCATAATTTAGTAATTACTATTGTAATGTTTGGATGAAAATACCAAAGAAATGTGTTGTTTAACATAAAGATATTTACTGTTTGAGAAACCAAACAATCCTGTTTGTTGACCAAACCATTTTCGCCACGCAGTGAAAAATGCTCCAATTCATTTTCGTGCGTATCTTCGCTGTATAAGAGCATTTATAATTTTGTCCAACTAATGAGATGTAACTTAGATAACATTAAGACGTTTGAAGACGCCGTGAAAACGTGTTTTAGATAATAAGACATCTAAAAGACATCATTGAAACATCTTTTAGACATACGTATTTGGGGAAACTTCAGGAGGAAAAAATCAGTATTCTGTCGGTGAAATCTTCGAGTATG